AATATATATTTTCTGTTAGTTTGCGCAATTTTCAGATGAAATCGTTTGTTCTGTTTTAATAAGAGATCAAATTGACAGATGTCTGGAAAAAAATAATAAACTAATATTTACAATTATGAATAATTAATTTATTTTTTGTCTATACATACATTCATCTATATATTGGCATTTCTCCAGAAAGGTCAACCACAGCCAAAACATTCAAAGTCAATGAAAGCATGTTCTGCTAACATATTTTTTATAACTAATCCATCAAATTTAACTAATATAAACCAATTATACATTTTATCATAATACATCTCGAAATATTGAGATACTAAGCCGAATAAATGCAAAAGTTCTGTTTTGAGCATTTCTACTTCACAATTTGTTATTATTATTGAGACACTATGCAAGTAAATATGATACTTCGAATTTTCTCTTTTTTGTTATAATTAAAAAATGAATATATTGAAAATCTTTTCTAATGCTCTTTTTCATGTACAACTACTGAAATATTAAAAAAAAAAAAAAGTATGGTGTAAAAAATTTATCATTCGACACGTCACATTCGACCTGATTAAAACTAAAAAAAAAAAAAATAAAAAATACTCAATATTTTTAATCAAATAAAAAATATTGTAAAGATGTGCCGATTTCTAATAATTTAAAATTATTCGTAATAAATTGTCAATTAAGGTTTCGCTAAAATCTCAGGTTGCACTGTTCATTTAAAAAGCGACTTTTTGTTTTTTGTAGCCTGCAAACTTCTTGGTTTTTTGTGATTATCTTGAAAACTAACATCAAGAGCTAAAAGATTCACTATTCGTCAAAATACAAAATTGTTTTGGCATTCGTTTTTTTTTTTAAACTCAAATACGTACGAATGTCACATTCGCCACTAGAGAATTGTTCATATACATTAATTTTCTATTCTTTGATTTTATTAGTGTGTAATATTTTTAATTTATTATAGTACAGTAAAAGTAATTCATTGTTTATACAGCCCTCGCATATATGTATGTATATCATTATATGTGTATATCATTTATCGAGTGCTGTGGCTGTTACTTTGGCTATATCAATCCATTCTCGCCCGATCTGCTTTATGGCGCTTTCTTTATGGTTTTATCAACATAATTGCATTTTAAAAAGTTCGTTTTTAAAAGTCTTTTTTGTTGTGCATTGTTTACGATCATATTCTAATTTACGAGCTACAGAAGTGACTCACTATAATGGCTGGTCAGAAAACAAGGTAGAAAGGAGAGGGGTATCTAAATTTATAAAAATAAAAAAAATAAAAATGGACAGATTGCGCCCCGCCTAATGACTTCCAGGTACGCATGATTGCCGGCTCATATTACATGACTTGGCTGGCAAGGTAAAAAGCAAGATGGCCTAAAGGAATTTCTCTAGAATTTTAGATGAACTACCAAAAAAATGTGGGCTGCGGGCAAACTAATTGTAGTGCGAACTTTATGATACCCGCTAATACATGTACGCCTTGTTTGTTGTCCTCGAACCCAGTTTTTGCCTGTTTGGCTCATAAAACTTCAATTGTTTGTTTGTTTGTGTTTGTCGTTAAGGGGTTTTTTGTTTGCCCAACACCAACGGCCATTTAAATATGCCCAGCCAGCGAGGCCAACGGCTGCTGCATGCTGCTGCTCTAGCAATTCGGTCTGGTCGGTTTGTGTAAAAGGTTTCCATTGTCTCACCTGAATGCATTTCTAATTATTCGCGCTCACCGTGCAAGCGCGAGCCTCTCTCTCGAAATAGTTCTACAGCCTCCTAAACGATCAATGAATTCCGCCCTTTTTTACGCTAATCCTCTAGAGAATTCTGGGTACTTTTAGGCGGATTACTCAATCGGACGGACAAAACAAATGGCAAAGGCAAAGGCTGACATCTTGCAATAGTTTTCCGTTACGTTTTGTTGTGGCTGCCCAGAAACAGTTAGAGTTGACAATATTTTTTCTTGTTTAGGCCAAATAATAGCTTAGGATTACTTCACTACTTTTGTACTTTATTGGCCATCATTTGTCTTCATCAAATATTTTATTTTCAAAAATGTCTTTTAAGTTCTTTTAGACAGAGTTTTTATCCCGAGACACGTTCTGCCGGTTTTCGGCTTGAATGTTGTTTGACCGATTTATAGTTCCAGCTAACTTAACCTATTTATCTATTAAAGTTGGCTTGTAAGATTCGCTACATAAAGAGAAAAACAAATGTAGAAAAACACGGGCGAAAATTCATTTGCGGAAGAGAACTTTCTGATTTACAGACGTCTTAAAACATATTGTATAATAATGATGCCATATTTAAATTGTATACCATTTCGATATGTTATATTATTAGTTATTCTACATTAACTGATCTATGAAAATGAATTAGAAAACTTGATGAATAAATGTATATAAAATAGATTAATATATGTTTGAATACATAAAAATGTTATATTGTGTGTTTTCTATTCCAATGTTTTCCTTGTCCTCAGTCTTCCACTTCCTTACAAGAATCGATATAATACTCTGCTTAAATAAAACAATTGAAATTGTTTTCTGTTTATCATAAACAATTTGTACTTTAAATTTACAGCTCAAATTTAAACTATATTGATGGTGTTATACCACTTATGATGCAATTAGCGTGATATTTATAAGGAAAGTATCAATTGCACAGTAAACATAAACACACATTCACACACACACAATAAGCTATATAATGCTGAAGTAAAAAATCTAAACATTAAAATGTTGATTGAGGCTAGGAAGAAATTGCCAAAGGCTGAATGAATTATATGCACATATACATTCATATATCTATTGATATATATTGGCTATAATAAATGAAATCCGTAGTTATGGCACTACAAAACATGGATTTTACAGCCACTAATTGCATAATGCACACACAGTCGCATGAAATTACTTAATTAGGGACACAGCCAACGGCAATATTAGTTTATAGTACAAATCGAAGCAGTTGTAAAGGAAAAAGGGGTCTTTTCTTTGGTCTATACGCCCACCGTCTTGTTACCTGGTTCAGGTGTTCGTGTGAGTGTGTGGGCGGAGCCTAAGCGGCCAGCCATGAGGTACGCGCGCAAGCGAGAGGGTTGCTCGCTGGCTAGTTAGAGCGAGCTGCAAGGCAACAACATAAGCCATCTTGAATTTCAAACACGCAACGGAAATGAGGGTTAAAAAACAGCCCACTCAAGCCGGCGGACGGCTGTGCGAGCGAGATGACTAGCCCAACTATGGCAGTTGCGCGCTGCGGCGATTCCCTTTTCGTTTCTTGGTTTGTTTTTATCTGTAATCGCGTTCGTTGCTTTCAGTACGTATTCGACTACGGTTAACGTCGCAACAATCGTCGGCCAAACGCAACGGCAGTTGATAAAGAAAACGTAGTAGAAATTGTATAAACAGTAAATTACGCGTACTCCTGAAGCGATATTTAGATAGCAAAAAAGCGAAGTAAAGAGTTAATCGATAGATCGGATCTATACCAACACAGAGAAACTCCAAAAACGTGAATGCGTCAGTGTATGCAAAAAAGCGCACACAAAGAAAGCGCAAAGAGGTTTTTAATAAGCAAATCTTGTACAAACGATCGCAAAATGTGCTTATAAAATATAGAGAATAAAAAGTGCTAAGAAGACATAGCAGGCAAATCTAACGACGAACAAATTATATTTCGTAAACAAACATTAAATTCGCCAACAACAAATAGAATACGCGCTCTAACCTCAAAATGGTTTCGCACTATTACAATTCGCTGCCCTATTCGCAAAAGCATAACGCCAACTTGGCCTACGCCACAGCGGCTGCAGCGGGCCAGCCCTGGAATTGGACCACCAACTATCATACGCCACCCAATCATCAGTTTCTCGGCGAAGTGGATTCGCCGCATGCTGCTCATCATGCCGCTCATCAAATGTACTACAATCCGCACATGTTTCACTCGGCGGCGGCTGCGGCGAGCGAATGGCATTCGCCGGCCTCCAATTCAACGACAGCGACGGGTGAGAATTTCGCCCAAAATGTCGCCCATCCGCTGATGCAGCAGCATCATCCGCACATTAACAGTGGATTGCCCAGCGGCGGCTCCAGCAGCTCTGCCAGTTCGGGGAGCAGCAGCTCTGCTCCAGCTGCTGGCGTCACGCAATTGAACGAGCCCAATGATGCGGTTGTCCATGCACAACAGCAGCAACAACAGCAGCAGCAGCAACAACAACAACARCATCAACATATTGCCGAGGGTTTGCCTTCGCCACCGATCACCGTTTCGGGCAGCGAAATATCGAGTCCAGGTGCTCCCACCTCTGCCTCATCGCCGCATCATTTGGCCCATCATTTAAGCAGCAGCAACAACAACAACAGCCCCTCTACGCATAACAACAACAACAACAGTGTGACGGCCAACAACAACAACCATCGCACATCGCCAGCGAAGACGCAATATTACGAATGGATGAAGAAACCATCATATCCATCGCAACCCCAGCCTGGTAAGCTTACAAACATATATACTTGTAACACTAACATTTAGCGTGTCTCCTTTATTTATTTAAAAGTAAATTATAAATAAAATGTTTATATTAAGTTATTTCTCTCCAAAATGCTCAAATTACTAACATTTTGTCTGCAGTGTGGTTAAGAGTTGAGAGCAAAAATAACGGCAGTTAAAGCTCGTTCTCATACTCCTTTTTGAGTACATTCGCATAGGAGTTTACCTTGTTTCGAATCTGAATTCGTAGTTAGTCATCAGTTTTTCGGTTTCTCCCGCATCCGCAACGACGGATCGCCACCACAGTTCCCGCTCATTGTCTTCCAGACAGCTTTTAGTCAAAGCTCGTGCTGTTCGCGCTTTTAAATTAAAGAGAGAGGGAGAGGGAGAGAGATAGATAGATAGAGAGAGAGAGAGAGAGAGAGAGAAGGAGAAAACATAATTTTATAACGAACCGTAAGCAATTTGCTTGCATTTGAGTGCGCCTCCAAGGGCCATTAGCTCATAAAAATCAAATGTTTGTCTTCATTTTACGGCGCACACCGCCTTGATTTATGTGCCCCAGGCTCAGCGGCCGCAGCCTGAAAAAGAGGAAAACTTGTCGACTCTGTTGACTAATTTTGTGTCGTAAATCAATTTAACTATAAAAGAAACAACATTCAATGGGTTTCGATCAATACTCCAGTTTCTAATGAAAAATGCAAATAGACCGGACGGCAAGCTACTCTCACAGCAATTAGCAGCATGAAAAGTGTTTCAAATGGGTATGAAATAGAATGGAACTTTTTAGCATCGCAGATATTTTGAAAAAGCTTTCAATGCAACTCTGGACTTTCGCATTGTGCAATGCACTTTGATTATGTGAGAAAAGCTCAACGCTTTGGCCGTCCCCCGCTGCCTCTTCTTCGTAATCATCTTTTGTGTGCTTCGCCCTTCTTAAACTTTTGTTTTGTATCGAGCACATTTTCGTTGTTTTATATTTTGCATGACAGCAGCCACCAACACGACATTTAACATTTACAGCAATGCAAATGTAAATGCCAATGCATACACATGCAATCACGCAGTCAGACACTCACGCACACAATTTTACAGACCCACAAGCAAATACACTCATGCCAAAACACGTGCGCAAGCGCTTACGATTTATGACCACTGCGTTTCAAAAGTTGACGACGTTCGATATCGACGATATCCATTAAGCCCATAAAATCGGTTGGTATGCAATTAACGTTTATTGGTGCCCGGCGGCCCGTTGTTGTTTGTAATCCTTTAACGGGTCAAGATGACAAATTAAGATTATGCATTTTTATTTATTATTCATATAAATAATAAACAATACAGAACACAGTTGCACCTAAGCGCCATGCAGGGCGAAATGATACCCTGTCAATTTGTATGCATATAGGGTATACGTGACTTTGTACACTTGATTATTGGGTGTGGCAATAAAGTTCTTCAGCAATTGCGGTTGTTGTTGTTGGTGTTGGTGTTGGTTGTACTTTTGTTTTAATAGCTGAGGCGGGGTTTTCGATTAGATTAGCACAGGGCAGATAGGCAGGTAGGAGAGGGCAGGCTTGTTCCTATAGAATGGAACACCTTTGTGAAAGCAACGGCCGCCTGTCAATGGTCGCCGATGGGTACATTCGATGGGGTTTCTATGTTGCTTCAACAATAATTTTATATATATATATATATATATTTTTTTTGGCTGATATGAGAGTATGGAAACGTGGGCTTTATCTGTAGCCTGGTTATGGAACTGATAAGAGCGGAGTATTGATTAAAACAATATAAACCAATAAAAATTAGTATTACTTCCAATAAAAACTAAATAGCGACATTTATGGCCAAATCTTTGCAATCGTTATTAAAAAAAAAATTAGCCAAATGTCCATAACATTCAGTAAGAAATAACCTTAACTTGGCTTGACACAAAGATAAGCTGGCATTGGCTAGGTTAAGCTAGTTGTCCATAAACTGGGGCTGAGTGGGGTTTAACATGTCTTTAGGCTACACCAGGTGCGGATGGGGCTGGGCCTAAAACTTAATGCCACATGACACATTGAGATTTAATATGTCAATAGGCACAACATTTATATACGTTTCCAGCAGAGAAAGGAAAAGGAGGGAAGGGAAAAAGAGGGAGAGAGAGAAGATAGAGGTAGAGAGTGAGAGAGGGGAAAGCTATCTATGGGGCACATACAATATATGCCAAAGCATAATTTTTCATAGCCCCAATGTCGTCAGTCAAAAAAAAAAAAAAAAAAAAACGAAAAAACTTTGAAAATAAGCACTGAAAAAAATCGATCAAGATCAAATGAACTAAGTTTATAAATTTGTTCATACAAATTTTTAACTTTTGTGGAAATTCTAGGTTGATTCAATTTCCAATAGTTTAACGACATTTCGGTCAAAAAAAGGATTTGAAAGAAGTAAATACAAATTTTCGTGTATCCTTAGTATAAATAAATTCTTAAAAATTAGTAAAATCTAGTTCAAGACTAACAACAATTTACCGTTTAGTTTTTCGCTAAGTGTATGTGTGTACGCCTAGAGGCGTAAATGTTTGCTAGATACTATATATAAACGTGCGTTATTTGGTTGCATGATAAGCCATTAAAAATGGCCACAGCTTAGGTTGCAGTCGGCGTTCGTTGTCGTGTCGCCTGTCGCCTGTCCAACTCGAATTCGAAGTCGATGTCGATGTTCGATCGTTATCAGTGCTATCAATATTTAGTTTCTGTGTGCGCATTGCCTTCAATGTTCCCTGGTTGTGGCTGTAGCTCTGGCTGTGGCTATGGCCGGGGACATGTGTCAAAATGAAGTCTGCTGCTTGATTAGCCCAGTCCGTCATGATAATGATGATCATAATGATGATCTAACTATATATGTACAGGCAGAGCGACATTGCGTCTGACAAACGCTAACCATGATTGACATACCAGGATTAGCACTAACATACACACATATGTACTCTCTCACTCTAGCACACACACTCCCTTTCTCGTTCTCTTTCTTTCTCTTGTGAGCTCTCATCAGCGCTCCATTTGCTTTGGACTTAGTTGTTTAAATATTGTGAACCATTATTTGTATTGGCATTGATATTGGTAATAACTAAAAAATTTGTTGTTGTTCCTAAGTAGCTAGAAAGCCCTGCTCATACAAAATATACACATGTAGTATGTGTGTTCTATATGTTGTTCGAAATTGAGCTACGATACATATTTAAAGGTGTGTATATCTGTATATATAGATATATCGCTTGTTGACTGTGTTTTCTGTTGTTCGCTAAGGCGCCTTGGATTTGGGGTCTTATAAATTTTAGCTAGACAATGAAAGACTCAAATATTGATGATTGAATTATTGAAAATCAAAGTCTTATGAAGCTAATGAAAGACAAAGAAAATTGAATTATTACAATTTATACTGTTGGAAACATTTGTAATAACTTCTTTAATAATTATACTTCTAATTAAATATAGTTAAAATAAATAGATCCATGAAAATTATCTATGCATCGTCAAAAAACCAAAACATAAGAATTTTTTCGGAGTCTATAAAGCATAAACATTTTTTATAATATATATAAAAATAATTTCGATTATTTATTTAGTATTTTTACCCTGCCAAAGTGCCTGAATCTCTCTAATTTCACAATACATTCGACCATCTTAAATTTAACCTCTATTAACTTATTAATACTTTACTCATTCTTATTTTATATTTATTCTATTTATTAATTTTGGGTCTTTCACTTATTTCATATGCCATGTTTCATACACTGCGCGAAATATAATCCATTAAATTCTTTCATTATCAACTCATGGAATTGCAATCAGTACACACATTTTTTTGTTTATCTGTGAATCATTTTTTAATAAATATATTTGTAATATGTGTAAGAAAATATGTCCAATAATTATTTTTAAAACTGTCCTACGAATCTAAACATTTCCTTTTGTCATAAACAACAAAATTTGTTGCTGTTGCTCGTTAAGCTCTGTCAGCGACGTTTAAAGCCGATTGTCAATCAAAATATACCGCATACGACGTATTGTACGGTCCCACACATGTTCTGTTTGTGCATATTCCATAGACATAATACCACTGATTGACGTAAATATTTAGAAACGTGTCCAGCTTAATGAGAAACGTTTCTCTTTTTATAGCCAAGATTTGCAGGCCAATGAAGCCTCCATATATAAATTGTGAGCGCAATGCCCGTTAATCGCTTAACAATACAATAAAGTAGCAATAATTATAAAAAAGCAAAGCCAAATAAAAAAAAAAAAAAAAAAACTAAATGAAATGTTTCTTTGGTCAACAGAATATTGCCCTAAAAATATCGCTACTAAATTATATGCCCCCAACCATAACAATGAATATTGTTGTATATGGTAGCAATATTCTGATTTTTATACCACTTTAATTATGATGATTATAATGATGATGATTATTATTAGTGTTATTGTTATTAGCCTGGATTTGTTTTGATTTCCCACGCCATATCTCAGTTTTGTAGTCTAGTGCTTAGGGTCTTGCAGCTGCATCTCGGGCACGCTTCACTGTTTGCCCAGTGCGCTCAGCCGCAGAGATTATTCAAATATTGTTGCACGTTGACCCAAAGTATTTCACCTTGTTTCCAGATAAGACTCTAAAAGTCCAGACAATTTATAGTTCACACCGTCGCTAAGGTAAAGGCATTAATACACATACATACAGACACGCAAAATTTATGGTATATTATTTTCAGTTTTCTTTAATAATTTTATGAAGCGCAAATCATTAATAAATAGTCTTATAATGCTGTCTATTTGGGCCCATATACATCAAAGTTTACCAAGTTATTCAAAGTAGACTTTAATAAATAGAACTCAAAATATCTGATCATAAAAAGTCTTTAATTCCAATAAAAACTAAATCTTATATTTCTCTTATAAGTTATAAGTTTGTTATTGAAATACAAGCAAACTCTATCGTCTCAGAACCTCTTTTAATATTGATCAAATATTATTTGGTAACTAGAAATAAATACTCTAATAATTAACTTAAAATTATTACATCGGAGCCTTGGCTTTTTTAATATCTGATCAGCTCATACATAAATATAAGCTAACTACTATAACTTTTACTTATACTTCTCCTTCTACTCTTATAAACGCACTCAATCACAGAACTGTGCAGCACGCCCAATTTAGATGACTTTACCGAATTGCTGGAAGCAGGTGGTACGAATCTAAAGTTCTAATTCTAACTCTTTCTCATTCTATATGTATGTATTTAAATAACTGCATGCTTCTATTCTTCTTCGTACTGTTACTGTTGCTATTTCATCTTGGGTTTTTTTTGTTGTATTTTGTTTTTTTTTCCTTTCTCTTGCATGCGCCGCCCATAAATAAACTGAAGTCGTATATGGCATATAACACTATTAATGTACATATATATGCAGAATATTCATATATATGAATATGCATATGTCTGTACGCATGCATGTCTATAGCATATGATTGTAAAATGTTTATTGCATGCCGCGCGCAGAGTCGCATTCGAAATAATTAACGTAAATTTGAAAATAACTTTTTTCTTGAAATTTATTACTTTAATGGCAGCTTCGACGTCGACTTAGAGTTCGAAATTCAACATCATCAGAGTTTGAGTTCGAATGGCGGCATTTAAATTGCGGCCATTGGCTGTCATTTTCTAAGCCAACTCTCCCCCTCCACGGTGTTCGACACACTCATAAATGGGGTCCGCGGGCAAAATGGCGTGTTGGCCACGTTTGATATATGTATGTGTGTATGTATGCGTGTATATGGCCAACATCCTCAGCTTGCTCCGCCTTTGCGTGCCACAAATTTGGCTGCGGCACGTACGTGGGGCATTCGTTTGTGCCGCTGCACGCGATCTGATAATATATGTAGTTTTTCCTTTCTTTCTTTTTTTTATTTTTTTTTGCGCTGCATTTCCTTTTGGCATTTATAGCGGCTGCGTGCCGGGGCGCGCCTTCGGCTTGGAGAACAGAAAGAATAAGAGAGAGAGAGTGGGCGAGGAGGAGAAGGGGAGAAGACAGAGAGAGGGAGCGGTAGTCTGTATCTGTTTTTGGAGGCGTTGTACTTTCTGCATATGCATGGCACACACTCATAAAACGCGCTGCCTGCCTCGCATGTCGCATGTTTCGACTTTGATGTACGCCATTTTGAATTTCTCACCCTCTTTCTTGCGCGCCAGTGTGTGTGTGTGTGTACGAAAGAGTTATTTATTATGGCTAGCGTGCAAAGCATTAGTGGAACTTTAATTATGCTTGATGGAAATTATACAGCTGATCTAATTTTCCTGATGAGCAATGAAATGCGTAGTATTTTTCTTTATTTTAGAGAACACAAAAGTAAAATGTAGGCAATTTTTTAATAGGGATTAAAGGATGTCAATATATCTTGTTAAACACTTAATTCTTAACTCTAATAGTCTTAGACATTGTAACTCTACTGCTAAATCTTGCTGATATTGATTTATACATGTTAAATTTCTACAGCCGCAGTAGCCGCAAAGGTGGTAAATTTTCCGGAATCCAAAAGGAAAAAAGGCAAAAAGAAAAAAAGGAAAGGAAAAATAAAATAAACGTCAAATCGAATCAAATGATTTTATGATGTAATTTGAGCTAATATTTACGATATAACAGCATCTAAAACAGCAGCAAAATGCCAAATAAATGTTATTGTTATATTGTCGCTTGGGTGGTGAGCTTTAGATGATGCTCCAGGCTGCTGCCTCTGCCATTGCTGTTAGTGTTGTTGTCTCTGCCTTGCTACAGCCATCACAATACATTTATGATGCTCACACACAGACAAACTCTCACTCTCTCCCACACTTACGCTTTCCGCAAAATTTTTGCTCAACTTTAAGTTGAGCTCAGAAACAAATTGTTGAGTGTATTCGAAAAGTCAAGTGAGTTGCGGCGGCTGCTGCGGCTGTTGCGAGTGACATATCCCCAGAGTGCAATAACTGAAATTGCTGAGGAGTAGGAGTGGAGAGTGAGAGTGAGAGAGCGCACTTTGCTTGTCGAAACTTTTGACCCAGACTAAAGCTTTAATATCGAAATTTAAATAGAAAGTGCAAGAGAGAAAGAGAAAGAGAGGGGAAGAGAGTGTGTAGACTTGTCAGGTAATAAATGTCTCCCAATAGATTTGTTTTCACATGCTGTGCGCTCTTCAACTAGTTTGCGGTCATATTTTGTCATCATCTTGGGCAATGCCCACACGCACCCCCCGCATACACTCGCCCATAGATAAAGATGTACCGCAAGTGACAAATTAACACACGCAGCATGCGAATGAGCGAGCGAGCGAGCGAGCAACCACCAACTGGCCCGTAACTAACCGCAACAGTTAACGGTTAAATGTAATGTAAATGTTCTTGTGTCCTTGGTCGCTGTTGTGATTGGCCCGCTGGGAACTGTGAACATAATTGCCGCAATCTTTCTGGATGCATGTCCGGCTAACTGTAACTGTCACAGTGTAGCTGTTTTGGCAACAGCTGTTTGAAAAATCAACGCTACCTACTCGTATATTAATATAATTTATTGCACAAATTGTCAATTGAGTCTCTTGACAATCATTTACGATTTAACCTGGCTCCATTTTGCGCCCTAGTTAAATAGTAGTAGATATATACTCTTTCATATAAATTACATAATCCTCCTGCGCTATATAATCTTGAAAAGCCTATCTAGCTATTGGCAATTGCTGTTGTGGTTGTTGTTGCTGTTGTTATTTGCACTATTTCCCTTTGTCGGCGAGTTGCTTACACATACAGTTAGAAAACACAAATACATAGGTTGCACTCGTAAAAAAGAAACGTTCGCCAGTTGTGAATTACTACACTGAGATATATTATTGATAAGGTCAGGGACAAAACAGGAGCAAGTGCTAGCTATTTACTTCGATTTTTTATATACATACACATATTTATGGGCAAACAGTCTAGAAATGTGGCTCAAAGTCGAATTTGATAGTTGCAAATGATTCACGAATGACGAACTGGCAAATGGAATGATTATTTATTATAGGAATTTAAAGGAATCCATAGTTAATGATATATGTATAAATAAAGTTATTAGAAGTGTGCAAAAGAAAGAGAAGGAATAATGAAAGAAAGAAGAATATGAATATATGTAAAAATATATTATTTAATAGATTAATTATAAATTATACGATCGTTCATTTTAAATATACATATTTCTATTACGATCTATATAGATAGACTGATGTGGATGGATATATAACCATGATGATAGATGAGCATATAGCTCATATTGAACATGAAATTCTTATTGAAATTTTTTCGCACGGTGTACGGAATGAAAATGCAATGAAAACTCTATAGACATATGTAATAACACTCAGTGTGCGACAAATAGCTATTAAGGCTTATCAACGAAGCCTTTTAGACTCCCAACTCCAACTGCAACTCCGATTCCAGCTCCAATTGCAACTGCAACGCCCTATGTTCCCTCATTTGTGTGTTGATACAGACCTCAATAGGGATTACGAAGTGCGTGCATTTGATCTATGCCGCCCATATATACATATACAGATATATGCAATTGATAGGCAATGTCAAGTAATCCAACATAGCGATATACTATAAACATACGCATGTATATATGTATAAATAAATATATACATATTTATAGAACACAACATATATGTACCCAAACTTTTTCAATCAGAAATGTTATGTGTTAAGCATTTGTTCATAGCTTTTTTAGACTCATTTTGACTTACCTATGTACTATATCTATAAATATATATAAATTACGTGTCTTCCCCCACTAGCCGCATTAAGAGCCAGTGACAAAGTCATAAAAAAATGTCACACCTTTTTCTTTTGTGCATTCCAGCATTTTATTTAATTACAAATAAAATCTACCAACTTGTGTTTGCATAACTATACGACTATATATATACCCTATATATATATTTAAATACCCTAAATATATATATCTCTGCGTCCTTTACTGTTAGACAATCTCCCAAAAAAATCTTGTTTCTTCTATTTGCAAAAATGGTTCTTGATATCTTTTCTGTTTCTGTTTTTTGCTATTGAATTACGAGCTTTGGCTTAAATCTTGTCAGATTCTTATCAGATTCATTCTGAAGATCTGTGCACTATTTGCGCAGACTGCGTTTTCCGTTAGACATGCTCCTCATCAGCTATAATGGGGACCGTCTCTCTCTCTCTCTCTCTTTCTCATGTTGTCTCTGTTTTGTGTGTGCAGATAATAAAACACTCAGTTGGGTTTTAACTGGCTTTATAGTTTTATATATGGTATACACAATTTATTGGATTATGGCCGTGAAGGTCAGATACAGCCACATCTAGCACCAATGTCGTTTAAAGCAACAACAACAACAATAACAATCTCTGCTCCAGTTCTTCTACTGTTTGCACTTGGTGTCTCTTTTAGGTGTGAGAAATTTGTATGGAAAGTGCCAAAAGATAAAGAACACAAAATTTGTGCATATCTTAAATTGAGAAAGATCTTAAGCATGTTTAAAAGACTTTATGTTCTATCATAATAGCGGACTATGAGATAGTAGTTAGACTAAGATTTAAATTTAAATTTAGTTAAAGTTAGCTTAGGGTCTGATGATTTCCTTGATAGTAAGCACAGCATTATATATGATATATATATAGTTACTCAGTTAAGAAGGTTTGACTTGATTTCACAGAATTGTAAAAATCAGCTATAATTAAGTTTTGAGTTATATTTTTTTGTTATATAATAAAATCAATTATAAAATACATTTTTAGTATGTAAATTTCATTTAGCAGATCCCTTTCAATCCCTATTTAACTGATTGGTTCCTGTGGAGATTCATAAAATAGCTCCAGCTTGCCCATAGACAACTCGTTCGTAGTTGGGCTGTTTATGCATTAGTTAAAACTATGATATATATAGATATCTGACGTAGCATTTTCATCATAGTTCAGATTTAAAAACTCTCCTCTCCTTTGTCAGATTTGATAAATATGTTGGGAAATAAAGTTTGCAAAAATCAGAAAATGTAGATATATATTAAATTATTGTTTTTTAAGTTTACAGAAATACTACTACGAAATACTATTTTTTAATTCGAGTTTTTTCGCGTTTTTGTATTTTTTTGCCATTTAATGATGACAAATATTTGCTGTGCAGTTTCTTGCAAATCCAGCGACTCGTCGTTGCCAGCTAGCGACGTCTAAGTCTGTCTAAATAAGCTTTTTGGTTTATCAGCATTAGGCGTATTTTTATGATGGCCAGCCACGCCCCCGCACACACTCTAGAACGCCTACTTTATCAGTTGAGCTAGCCAAGAACACGCGCAACTAAACAAAATACAACAACAACAACAACAAAATGGCAAAGACTAAAAATTTGAGATTTATTATGAGAGCGAGACGAGAACTGTAGATAGATTAAAAATTGTGTCGACTTTAGCTGAAATGAGGCTTTAACATTTATATGACGATTGCCACATTTGTGTCTAAGCAAATAGAAGACCAAGAAGAGGAAGAAGAAGAAGAAGAAGCAGAAGACGACGATGACGGCGACGACGATGTTGTTAATGATGATGAGGCGAATGTTATAAATTTTGATGTCTAAACAAAAGTGTAAAGAATAAATACGAATGCGAGTCGGACCAGATAAGAGCTAAGTAGAAGGGGGTCTTAACTGCTAACTGTTAACTGCTGTGCCTTAACTGTTTTGTAGTACACTTTCTTTTTTGTGTGTAACCCCTTCTAGCTTGCTGAGTAAATTTTAAGTAAGAAATATGAAGTTTTTTTTTTTGTTTAATTTAAAAATCATAAATCTTGTTACTTTTTCCTATTGATCGGTTTTTGGCAAAAGGAAATATGAATTCATTCGAAAATTTTCAAATTGTTGTTTATATATATACATATATTTTTTTTAATTTCAAAATGTAAACTTAAAAAAGATAAGCAAATGAGGATTTTATTTTTTATTTTTTGTGAGTGAGTTGACTAAAAAAGTATAAGCTTTGATGTTTTAAGATAAAATATATTGTTTATTTTTAGTCTTTTTTTCATCTTTTCTTTAAACTTGAAGTTAAGATACCAATTTTTCAGTGTAGAAAATAAACGAAAGTGTGTGAGAGATTAGCAAGAGAAGCTTAACGGTAATTATGCAAGTTTTGTTTGAAAAACACTCTAGAGATGAGCGCATTGATGAGAGTATATTAGTTTTCTACGTGTGAGAAGCAGAAATAAGAAATACATTTATAGGAAATTCCCAAGTATCTTGGAAAACAGTCATAATTTAGACTTACACTAGAATAATAAATAAGATAAAATAAACCATGAATAGAGTATTAAGCAGTCAGTAACACTTTATCTAACTCCTCTTACTCAACAAAAGTTGAAGTAGTTTTCCAATAGACAAATTGCTTATTTTCATGAATTTCAATAATTTCAGCAGCTTTCTGCTTTTCCCTTTTTACCAGAGACAGGGAGATCGAGACCGAGAGAGAACTAACCCATATATGTATATGTATTCCGTATCATCGTATATCATTGTAGCGCATTTTTAAGGTCTTTAACACCTACACGTTCTGTTGCTCCACTTGGCCTATCTCTCAGCTAATGTCGCTTGAACTTATCATCTGTGAAAATATTTGTATATTTATGTTTGTTCGCTTGTTTGCTCGATTTTAATTGTTGCTTACAAAGCAGCACATAGAAATAGTATAAAAAAATTAGAGCAAAATCCCAACCAAAAAGTAAAAGAGAAAAAAAATGTGTTTGCATTGCGAGCGAGCGAGCGAGTTGTGGACCCTGAGTGTGTTAGTGTGTGTGTGTGTGTAGTGTGTGGGTTTATCACGTAAGCAGAAACAACCACTATATACATATATAGTACACACATATACATACAAACTTTTCATGACTTGATCCCGTGGCCTTTTTCATGCCTCGTCTTTGGCTGTTTGTCATTTATTTGAATTTTGATTGACTAATTGCGCAGCGAGCGCCACAATTAAGCAACACCCGCAAAGGTTACCTTCAATGAGACAGGTAACTCGGGCTTCTCTTCACGGAGGTGTCTGCTCCATTTTCTTTTCGAATTTTGATGTTTACCGCTCGAGCAGGCCTGACAAGCTTTTTTTGATCGTGACATGGCCAACGAGGCGGTTCTTTCTTTCTCCTTTTTTATGGCCTATCTCAATTCAAATATTGTCAGCGAACTGCAACTCAGTCTGATGACGATGACGAGAGTGAACTGTTTGACTAACAGTCAGTCCGTCAGTCAGTCACTCATCGCACGTGGCGTTGAGTTGTGACGGCAACACGATCTTTGGTTACCTACGCAAGATATCTTAAAATAATAGTAAAAGCAATTAGAGATATGAGTTCATCATTTTAGCTATTGTATAAAATGCAATTTATTCTTATGATATACAGGTCTATAGAATTTGCTTCTATACAAAATATAGTTTTTAGCAATATTGTTTCAAGCTATCAAACTATTTCCATTAGATTATATAATATAAATAGAATTTTTAGATCAGATTCATTTTCTTAGATCCCAAAAATCTAGTTTTTTCATTATTTTCAATTGCAATTAAGTTCATGAAGTTTTTTAACTTAATTTTTAAATTTCAAACTTTAATTTCGCATGGAACTCAGATAGTTTTCCTAGACAATAAATATTTGCATTTAGAATTTTTATAGAACTTGTGCAACACATTTTATTTATAAATATAAAT